ACTATGGAGTCAAATTACCCTTTCTTGCAGGAGGTCGATTACTTGCTGTATGCACTCATTAACACTGCAGGAGTCTGTCTTCAAGACCAGCTCTGGGGCTTCTGGTTTCTCATACTCAGAGTCAATTCCAGTGAAGCCTGAAAAAAGGAGAAGGGAACAGAATATAAAACACCACTTCCTACATTAATGGATTGTTGATATTGGCAGAGTCAAGGCCTACCTTTTGAAAAAAAAATGTTTTTTCCATAATTACTGATTGGAAACCAAGAATGGAATGTCAAAGCCAGGTTCAAAGAAAATCACTTCTTGCTTCTTAGTCATTTCAGTTACACCACACGTTTACATTGGACCACTCCACCTCCCTCACTATCACATAATACAAGGTAAAGATGAAAACAACGTGAAATGCACATTGGCCATGGGATAGAAGGCAACTTCAAAAAGTTAAAATTGTTAAAAGACTGGATTTAAGATTGTCTTCTAAGTCGGGAAACGATTCTAAATAGTTGAATTTGTCATTGTTTCAGATCTTCTAAGCCACTGCAAAACTGTGGCCTTCAAAGACGATCACGAACAGGTGAGTCTGAGTAAGCTGAAGGAATTGAATAGAGCACACTCAAATGCACTTGAACCCACGTAGTAAAACATCTGGCATTTTATTACATGAGTAAACACTCAGAGTGCGTCCCAGATGTTTAATGCCTCAGTCTTCACACCTAGTGGGAACCTCTTCCTGCAAAGATGATAACGTGACCGCAGAACATTCCTGTACTGTTGTTGTAATCGTTAACACTCGTAAAAAATACCGATACACAGATGTTTATTTTCTAAGTACAGCACTCAAGAATATGCTTAAGTTGAGAATGCCAAAACTTGGTCAGCTATGTGTGCTTTTATTTTCTTTGCTTTGTTAAGAGCAGATGTTTAATTGCAACGTTTGCCACATAGTCCCAATATGCCGCAAAGCTTCATGGGATAAATGCACCAAATTATTTAATGGCAGCTTTTTAAAAAGGCAGTCTGAGTTGTACAGAACTAAGTAGTACTCCCAGAAAGCAAAGAATCTGTGAATCCCGGACCATACACTAATTGACTGCAATTAACTGTCAGTTATCACAAATTCAGAGTATCACCAGGAGCTCACAGGTCAGAGAACACAATAGTAATCAGCAGATTATAAAGGGGAACTGCAATGTTATTTTTATACATCGGGGTTAGAAAGAATCAGCAATGATGAGTGCAAACTACAGAAAAGTAAAACCTCCAATTTATACCACAAAAGGTCACGTATGCGGAGTGCCATATTCTGTGATTCAGAATGAGGAAACAAAACCTCTGGTGACGTGAAGTGGTCCTATTATATTGTACAAGCAGACTTGTGAAAACTTCTCTTTTAATCCAACAGAAATATTGCTCTTGACTTCAGGATGGTTTTGCCAATAAGTGGAACTCTGCATGCAGATCACATTACAATCTTTCTGTGGTGAAATATCTGCTGCACAACCTGTACTTAATTTGCTCGTACAGCACATTACATTAGTCAATACAGTGACTAACGAGCAGGAAGGGCCACATTACGTCGCAATTAGTGGGAATTCTCGCTCTCGCCCGTGGGGAGACATGGTGTTGAGACAACATGGCGACATACAGTACTTTCACAAAATTCACGATTTTGTGCTCAATTCAAAATGTGTGAATCTTTTCGATACTGTCCATGAATTTATTTTGTTACCAAAATGTAATAACCGGTTGGACAAATCTGTATTGCGGTTCACCCTTAAGCACTTTATTTCAGTTTTCAAAGCAGGGATTCAGGGAAGTATTGTAGAACTTCTAATACACAGAAGTTTTAGATACTTGATTTGAGATATTATGGATTTCACATAGCACAGGTGTAAAGAAAAAGGTTTGGGAAGATACTGCTCATGTTTTCTCTGTTTTGTCATCTGCATGATATAGGCCTACTGAACACACAATTTGCCTGTAAACCTGTTACCAAACACTCAATATATGGTCATGAACATGCAAAGCAAACAACCTTTCTTATGTGGTAACAAATACATAATTTAAATGATCTGACAATTCTTTGCTATATGATTATAGTCATATGAGCTACATTCTGTAATCTTTTTCTTTGCTAACCTTGCATACTTGAGTTCAGATAATATTGCTTAAACTCCTGATAGTAAAAGTTTCAAGCAGTCTTATATTCCACATCAATGCTAGGGGTGGGTTACTATGAATCACAAAATGCACTAGGCAGAAATATCAGTTTTCTATTGTCACTTACTCAAAAGACTAACTGAAGTGATATATGTATCTCACTTTCAAGTTACAGATTTATGGTTTAACAAGTAGCAATAAAAAATAAACATTTACAGGTTTATGACAAAATGTAAACTGATACTCAGTTATATACAAGAGATCCAATTATAGATTAGATCATTATAGATAATTATAGACTGTTGTTTCATCTCACACCCATCTTAAATTCCAATTCTGCTTTCAGGCAGGACAGCCTGATCCTACTTTTAGAACTGAGAGAACTTTACATTGCCATTATCTGCTCCAAACACAGCAAAATAAAAGCATCATTATGCTTTGTATTAAGCAGAGGTGCTTGTACATGCTGTAGCCTACGTAACAGAGTAAAATTACTATTTCAATGAAAATTAAACTAAAGTTCCCACCTTTTTAAAGCAAATATTTCCTGTTTCTAGCACTTAAAAGACTGTGCTACAGCACTCTCTTCCTATAATCCATACAGAGAGAGATGATGGTTTCTTTGAACCACTCAAGCTGCTCAATTATTGCATGGAAAAAATTGGATCAGGGGTATCTGATCCCTCTTCTGCATACAAAACAACTTTTTATGAAGCAACACCAATAAGATAATAAAAATCTTATCTGATCTTGTAGAACAACTGGCTCCTGACTACTTTTGCCCCAGATAAATAGTCACCTCTGATTTCTCCAGCTCTGGCTCTTTTATAGAGTCCCTTCACATCTCTCTGCTCACACACATCTAGAGGAGCATCCACAAATACTTCAAAAAAAGGCAGGCCTGCAGCTTCGTGGATCTTTCTGGCATTGATACGGTCCTAAAAAACAAAATAACATATAATTATAATAATAATAATAATAATAAACTTTATTTTATATAGTGTCTTTAAAGGTGGCTTCTCAAAGCGCTTTACAGGATGACAACAACAATAAATAAGAAGAATACACAAGATAAAACACAATTACAATATATAGAGGAGACCGTGGATGGTGGTACTAAGAAAAGCAGGAGGGTGAAGAATGGAACCAGTTCAGTAAAGGCTTTTCTGAAGAAGAGGGTTTTGAGTCTGGATTTGAAGGAGTTTAGAGGAGGTGACTCTCTGATATCCTTGGGGAGAGAGTTCCAGAGCTTGGGTGCATAACAGGAGAAGGCCCTGTCATCCATACAATGTAGATGGGCTTGGGGGACAGTAAGGAGAGCAGAATTAGAAGAGCGAAGGTTGCGAGGTGGGAAGTAGGGCGATAATAGTTCAGACAGGTACTGAGGTGCAAAGCCATGCAGAGCCTTATAGGTGAGCATGAGGATTTTAAAGTCTACACGGAATTTGACCATATCAGGATGGAAACAACAGAAGAAAGGAACATGACACAGCTGCACCATAGGTAAAATACTCCCTTAGGTAGGTAACAGCAACAACTGATAAAGCACAAATTTGAATTTTCAACATGAGATCAAGAAGATACAAAATTGAAACATTTTTTAAATAATTAAATCACTATTTACTTTAAGTATTCAGCATGAAATAAGATTTTGTTTGTAATGCAATTTCTAAACATTCATTAATATATTATTTTTATAGGATTTACATGAGCATTTCCCAACTTTAAGGGTGCTAGGCAAAAACAATTATTCAAACATCTAATCAATTAAACTATGGCATTATACACTTCATGTAAGGTTTTCTCATTTAGTTTAAATTGCTTTAGATGTAATAGCATTTTTGACATAAAACTTAATGAGGAACAGCCTGGATCTGAATTCAGGAGAAGTTGTGGTCAATTAACCATTTCTAAACTACAAATGTTTAATACAAATTTCTCTGTGAATCCTGCCGCTAGATAATTAAAATTTTTAGTCATCTTGAGCTGCATTAAATATTTAAAGCAAAAATATAAATCTGTTTCTTGTGTTGCTCCTTTTAAAATCAATACCAACCATTAATAACTGCTTAAGATTAGCAAAAGCTTAGCAAAAAATGGCTTTTAAAATGCTTTTGTGAGGTAGCTTTGGAAGAAAAGCACCTCTTAAGGAGGACAATTCCAGACAAAAGAAACACCTGATGTAAATGGATAATTGGCACCCAGTGGGATCGAGATTCCACATGCTAGAGAGGAAAAATTAGGTCTGTTCTGATTGCAACTAGCCACTGGATTAATGGAAAAGTGGATAAGATCAGGAAGAAGCAGCTCACAGCTTGCATCTAGACTCCAGCATTAAATGAAAGAGAGAGCTCAGGAAGGAGGTCCAAGAAGCAACAGGTTGAGCTGTACTACAGGCTTGTGGGACAAAGGCTACTTCAAGAAAATATATCAGGTTATACTGGGGGGCATCAATTGCTTATACTGGTTATACTGGGGGGCTGTGTCAGGTAGTCTGAGCCTGGATAGTGCTGATGGGAAGTATTAATACCTGGAGGAGTAGGACAGCTCATGTGGCAAGGTAGTAGTGTATCTGGCTAAGAAGAAATGTGTCTAGATAGCACAGCTGAATACTCCCAGGCTATCACACCAACAAGCAGGAGTGTGGTCTCACCAGCAGGCAGAAAGAGAGATTAACTAGCTGACTTCTACTATGGCAGGAGTGCAAGTGGTAATTATTGAAGAAAGAGCTGCGTCCCTGACCGAGCAGACCCTGCTACTACAGCTGAGCTGGAAAGACTGAATGCCTCTTGGGAAGAGCATATGCTTGGGGAGGAGCGATTATATTTCTGAAATGAAGATACCGTGTGACTGAGTAACACAGAGTCAATGGGGTACACCAATGATTTCCATTATACATTAGAGTCTGATTTGAGGGGAGAACAGAGATTAGTGAAGATCTGGAGGTAAGGAAAGCTATGAAAGGAAGAAACCCTTAGAGAAGAGCTACATGGAAGACCATGCAGCCGTCTCCAAGAGGGGAGAACCTGGAGGGGTTCCATCCACAAGACTGAACAACAGGCCACTAAAAATGTATTTTAAAAAACATCAAGGTGACGTTCTAGCAATGTTGTGATCCTCGTGGTTAATATGCATTTGTTGCCACACCTTTGTTTCATAATAGTATTTTTTTTTAATAATGCCTTTTAAAAGTAGCTTCACAAAGAGCTTTACAGTAAGAATGGCAAAAAAGAGTTAACAAGGAGAAGAGCTAAAGTTAGGACAACTAACACAAGAATTTAGAATGCTGTAGAAGATACCGAAACCCACATGACCTGATTTCTGACCCAAAAACTTGAAGTGCAGATTAAAGTGTCTTAACGACCTACTCACAAAATGTTATGGAATAATCCATCGACAGCTCACAACAAATATTGTTTTCTGCTGGGGGGTTGGGGGATTGACAGAGGTGGAAAAGAATAGTTGTCATCATAACAAACTCAGTCCTTCAACTGTGCAAAGCAGATTTGTTGTTTTGTCCGATGCCGGGGTGCAAAGCACTTTCTGCAGATAAATGACTATGCCTGCACACACTCTTTAATTAAAGGTTTTTGAAATCTCACCCTGCTGTATGGAGAGATGAAGCTGGCGATGCACACGAGACCAGCGTCTGCAAACAACCTTGCTACCTCCGCGATCCGGCGGATATTCTCTTCTCGGTCCTCAGGGCTGAAGCCCAGGTTCTTGTTCAGGCCCTGGCGAATGTTGTCCCCGTCCAGAGTGTAACAGGGAATGCCGTGACACACCAAATACTCCTCCATGGCCATGCTCACCGTGGTCTTCCCTGCCCCCGAGAGACCTGCAACAAAGAAAGACATCAAGCTGAAAAAAATGTGCTTAAGAAACATTAAAAACACACACTGCGATTCGTTAAATCAACGGACATCTGTGGCCACTTTCACCCTGCCTTGGCTTAAAATTATTTTTTCATACTTTCACAGATGGGGAAAAAATGTTAATGTTCTTACTCATAAATTGGAAAAGTATTAATAATAATAAAAACCTATCATTACAAGTTGATATTTGTGTGTTCTAATTCTACAGGCAATTTCTTCAACACAGAAGGGGTTAATTAACATTGTGCTGTTGGTACCAAAATCTAACCGGAATTTTGGCTCAGTCAAAACAGGCAGCTTTTACTCTCCCTTCGGAAACCACGTTTAAACAGAGATCGGGGATTTCTCATCACCGAGAGAGAAGTTCCATGTAAACATTACACTGTGGAATGGTGTGATCTATCAATGGGCAAGCTTGGGGCTATCCCAGAAGGACACAGCAGATGGTAAGACTGCAACCATATGACTGCTCCCCGCAAGGACGGGCCACAGGTTCACTGCATGGCCACAGAGTAAGAGAAACATTTGAATAGCGTAACTTCGAGAGATGAGAGGAAATAGGGCAGCCAACAAACTCTCGAGCAAATTCAACCCAAACAGATAAAGTCCATACTCAAAGGACCCAGGACCTAGAAGGCAGGAGGCAGCAGTGCTGAATACCACACCACCATGGCATCTGGGCAGGTATGAACCCATCACGAATTTAGGAAAAGTTCAAATGGAATGTATTGATGCAAGTGAAACTCAAGAACATCAACTCCTTTAAGAGGGTTTCAAGTCACTCTGCAAACACATTTTGTGTGATCCGTGGCACAGAAAATAACCAAACTGAAAATTCACTTTTGAGAACAACCTAGAGATTTACTCAGGGCTCTGTTTTCAAAGACCCAAATTGCTTTTTATTTTGACCTAAATTGCTGGAGGAAGTGAACCACAAAATATGGTAAAAACAATTGAAAAAACAGAGGCATCAGGTCAATCACCAACTGCCAAGATAAGATACTACTTGCCATTTGACCAAATAGATATGCTAAATCTCAAGGTTCCCAAAAAGTTTAGATTTATAACATTCAATATATAAAACCGTATTTAAAAAGTAATGGCTCAGGACTGATAATTGTTAATACAGCCTTCAATTCTGATTTAATGTGAGTAACTTTCCCAAGCATTACAAAAGGAACAATGGATTTATTCTAAATTTTGAATCTACAAATGACTAAAATGCGACTACTGATTATTAATCATATTACAGTTCTGAGACATGGATGGAAGTCAGGACGCTACCTGTCAGCCATACTGTACAGCCACGGAACCCTCCTCTGGTGCCAACCACTTGACCACGCTTGTTTCTGCTGACATGGTGAGCTTGATACGTCACATTAGTAGCTCTCTGCATCCCCTGTAACAATTAAACAAATTAAATCACTTATTCACAGAACGCACACTAGACGCACACTTATTGTGTATTCGTAAGACTGGAAACAAAAAAGCATGATTAAAAAAACAGCATAACACCTCAAATAAAATGAAAGCATCCTACGCACCATTAACAAAATGAAATATGAATTGTAACTTTAGCTATGTATGCCCACTACAATTTCATCAATTCCTATCTAGTCTAAAAAAAATTATGTGTCACATACATTAAAGAGGGCAATAGTGTGATTTTGGCTATTTCTAAATCTGTTTAGATTTTCAGGGAAAATAGATCATGCGTTCTGTTTTCATCAGGATATTTATATATATATAATCAGAATAATTTAACTTCCAATAAAAATTAACACTTTTTATGGATGTGAAGTAAGACAAGAAGATGGAAAAAGAGGCAGGCAAGACCACAGTTCAAGTCATATAATATGAAAACATCTTTCTGATACAGATTCTTAGATGATAACATTTTCTGTTTGTAAGTAAAACATGTTTTACATGTTGTACTGAATGGGCAGAGTATGAAGAGATACTACTACTATGCGAATGCAAGATTTGCAAGAATGTAGGATCATTAAGTTATACCTAAGACTTTTGGTTGTTGTCTACTGGCTTATCTTTTAAATCACGTACATACTGCAGATATAAAGTACAATCTTAATTGTTCAGATTGCAGTTTCCATACAGTTCTGGTGACCTAGTTTTAATTGGTTGTTTAAAAAAAATTGGATGGAAGATTTACCATTTAGATAATGCTACAAATGTTTAGTATGCTATTCTAACAGGAAGTAACATTATGTTTTAAGAAAATCATTCAGATTTTATCTCAGCTTTGAGTGCCTTGCAAACACCCTGCATTTCTATGTACATGTGACTATGGCAATGTGCTATTTTGCAGTGAATAATGGAAGGACAAAACCATAGGGGAAAATGAAGCCGTATTCCTCTCACATATATATTTGACCATGTGCTGGAGGTCATGCTTAATATATGATCATCTTCAAGATGGTTTAGCAACTAACCATTTAATATTTGTTACAGTGAGGGACTTCTATATATCCTATATGCTATATTTAGAAGGCCAAATTTAGGTTCAAAACCATGTAAATATACTCAAATGAAAGCAAACGTTTTGGTTTGTTGCAATGATTATCACCCAACAAATGACATTAAAGAAAACACTTCTCCTTTCTGAATTTCCACACTTTATTATTAGCATTTTCCTTGAAAAGTAGCTACATTTTTTGTGAGGCATAGGTAAAGTTTTTTTTCTCTTCTGGAATGGAAACTCTTCTTGTGTAATGAAAGGACTTTGAGTAACTAACTTTATAAACTTGAAACAAATAAGAAAAAAAAGAGCCTACATATAAAAATAGATTTCAATATTTGCCTTCAATATACCCTTTTTCATTCCTTTAAAGAAAGGAGACGTCAATCACTACCATCTTTGCTTAATCACCAACTGTTTTAAAAAACAATTGGGAAGCTCTTCTTTTTTCTTCTATTTCACCACTTTTTCAAAGACATGTTAGCTAACACAAACTACACAAATCGCCTTTTAATCCAGTTAACTATTACTTTTAGCTGCTCTCTCTAGTTCTTGGAAAGTCTAAAAACAGTCTTCTGGTTTGCTTTCAGTGTTTTTCAATTTTTCTTCTTGTCTTTCCATCATAATACTTTTTCATCACCTTTTATTCTATCCCTTTACTGTGTTCCTCGTCTCACTAGACATCACATATAATGGTCAACAGCTAAGTTTTGACAACAATGTAATGTTCTGCTGTAATTTCCAGCCTCTGTTTATATTTTGCCATCTTAATTATTTTCTAATTTAGCTGATTCATATAGATTATTGATCCTCAAAGGCTGTCATCTTGCAGGCATTAAGTAAATCATTCAGCACAGATCTAGACCTTTGTAAATAGCTCCTAAATATTCAACTGATTGAACCAATTAAATAATTCCGAGCACAACCAAAACTAAAAACAGAGGACACTATGGCTCTGAGGACCAGGGTTGGGCGCATTTTATTAAAATAGTTACAGGGGGCCTACTAAGTGGCAAAGTGGTATGGTCCTTTACTCGAACACAGATTTCTCTCTTTGATCACAGGTTTGAGCCTGGGTCCCATCACTGACTGTGACCAAGAATCACAGATGAGAGCCAAGACAGGTAAAACACACATCTGGATGTTCCAAATTTGTTGGGTGAAAAGCGGTTCTGATTTTTTTTTAATTAAAAAAATTGGAAAGTGTAAGCTTAATTGAGAAGATGTGAAAATACATTTTTCCTACACTTAAATAAAATGTCACAGCTTTTTAAAGTTTGTTGAAGTGGGGCTTACATACAAAAATGTAAATGTCCTGTTTATAAGAACAGTATGAACAATGTAGTCTAATAATACATAAAGGATTTTTTAAGTTACCAGGATTTCTTTAAAGTTATTCCCCCAAAACATAATAGCAAAACAGTCAAAGATCCTCATATTTCTTCTGTAAGAACCATTTTCCCGTTATGGTTGATTTAGAATGTCTAATTTCTTTACCCCCAAATAATCTTTTAAATGTAATATCTTACTATTATAAAAAAGTTTCCTGCAAATTTAAATGATTCTAAATGATTCAGGTGTTAAATATGATGCAATTGTCCTTCCAAATAGTTATCTACAAAACCCATAAGGTACTTAATTACTTAATAAGAAGAAAACTTGTGTTACAGAGCAATTTGATCAATTTTGGGCTTCTATAGAACCCCACAGTAGCTGCTGTATATTTCAAATATGATGTTACAAGCCCATTTGCACACAGATATGTGAAAATATAGTTTTAAAGTCAACACAGAGGGTGAAACATTAACTATAATAAACAAAATACAGTATAAATACAGTGAGATTTACTGGTTCCTATAATGGGAAATATATCTCGAAGGCCTAGATTAGTCTGATGACTTATATGCAAAATACACCCATGCATAGATCGGTGAAGGGCATTGCTGATAAACTACGATAACTAGACTGAAATTTCAGCAGAAATTAACTGACAAGATGATCGGCGCTTTTAAATACAGATGATAAGCTTCCTTAACTTTACCAGTCCTAGAGGTGAAACAAGAGAAAATAAGAGCCGTCCAGATTGGTGTATTTGCTTGTGTAATTATCAAGCTTTGAGGTCACTTCTCCACGTAAAAGGAAATTTCCACTTGCAGTATCAGCATTAGAAAGGGAGATACGCTGATAAGTACGATAACTGATTTCATGTCATGGAGTAGCATGCGGTGAAAGGGATTTTAAAATTCAAAACATCCCTTTCGGATTTATAACGATTTATCACTGGCATATACTGATCACAATGTCGTTTTAAAAAAGCACTCCGTTTATACCTTTCAGATTTAAGTTTTGTTATAAAAGATATGTGCGCTGACTGTAATTTGTAATCATTAACACAACTGCAATGTCCATCAAGACCCAATACCGACAATTTCGACGCCTTCTTAGTTACCAGGGTGTAATTATGATATCCATTCTTATGGTGTAAGAAGAAGCAGAATAATAGAATATTCTAAATTCTACTCTTCCCTCTTTGAATCACCCATACTTGCAGTTAACTTGGTTTAATACCGTCATCATTACTGGTATATTAACATTTTGCGATCCAGCGATCTGTTCAATTACAAGTTCTAGATGCTTAAGTTCCACCTCAAAACACCAGGAAAAAAATCAGTTTCTGTAAGGATTAAAAAAAATGCGTGTTGACGCTTGTTTGATCACTATTAGCTTTATTTCAATCAGAACTGATACGTCACGCTGTTGCGCTTTAATCAAAATAAGGAATGAAACGTAAAACAGTCCCTCAGGAACGGTATGGTATGATTTGCCTCGAAGGGGTCGTTTGAAAAAACGGGATACATTTTTATTCCTAACAAAATCAATTTCCTCTTCAAGTTTTACATTGAGGCGACTCGTTCCCTTTAGCCTGCATTCATCTATATTACACGTCAGAAGTTAACCTTCTCAGTGTTTCCACCTCGTCTACAAGCCTTGCTCATCGGGCTATAGTGGACTGGACCGGTACTGAAACACCTCCAAAAAACACCGGGGAAAAAAGGCATTCCCTTTTCATTTGCAGCTGCAGACACACCAACCCCCTCTTTTAATACACCGCTCGGCACTGGCCAAAAAAGACGAAAAACGTGAGACCATCTCCTGCCCAGTCTGAATCTCAGGCGGCGGCAGTCACAAAACTCACCCACTTCTCCGCCTCGTTGCTCAGTTTTGCTTTTTTGTGCGAACTCCCCGAAGTATCCATAGTACTCTCAGACAGACGGTCCTTTAATTTTAATTGCTGCGTACCTAAAGAAAGAACCCCCTTTTTCTAAGTATTTTTTTCCTTTACTACCCAGGTACCGGAGAACCTAAAAGAGGAACCAAAAAGACCCACCGGAACCAACTTCAGCACCGGACGTGACGTATGCACTACATTTGGTAAAGTATCTCCATGACAACCACCTCCAAGACGTGACAAAAAAAAATATACAGCTTCGGATACACGTCAATGATCAGCACTTCAGTACCGCACTTTAATTATGTATTTGTAGGCTTAGTTTACTGTCCTATAAACATTTTTCATTTTTTACATCGAGCAGTTTGTCATTTCCTCACAAAGACATTTATGACACAACTTCAGTGGAGTTCTGATTGGTTTTACCTGTAGTTCATCCATGCATTTCTTTTCTAATCGCTTTATTCACGAATACAGGGTCTATAGTTCAATGACACGTAAAAATAAAGACCAGATTGACGAGTGGAGAAACTGCAATACATTTTTACAGACGTAGGGATTTTAATTGTATATAATAAGCAGTATTTGTAACATGTCAAAGCAACGCTTGGTGTCGCTATTTCACTAGCTGTAACTTCAGAAAACTAAGAATAAGATCAAATCAGTAAGGAAACCAATGCAAATACTCCAAACATTAATAACATTATTATATCACTTTGATACCATTCATTTCACAAACGCGATGTAATACATTGTCAGCTATTTATCCAGGAAATTAATATGTTAATAAAATTAACGTTTTATTAAACTATTCATGCATCTACACAAGAAGCAAGAATGCCAAGTAACACTAGAAATGACTGTGCAGGTTTCAGTTAAGAAGGCCATAAGTACACAAAGAATAGTGTACTTATAATACAATTAGTGTTAAAGTGCAGCAAAATTAAAATACAAAACTTTTTCTGTACAGTGAATAATGATCAAAATAATTAGAAAAGATTGTTTCAGGTGGCGCATTTGTTTCACGAAGAAAAGCAAAAAGTGCAGCAAAATGTATTGAAAATCACAGCAAGCTACTTTAAAATTGCTAGATTTCTCATTTGACCACAAAATCCAGGTTGAACAACATGGATAGTCATACTTCACCAAATTTAGTTTCAGTATTGATGTGTAGAACTTGGTAAAATGATCTCAGACCTATCACTAATTAATAAATTAAATCTAAGTTACATCGGCAGATCCGTGCTTGAACCATGAACCTTTATCATGTTTACATGATAAAAGAGGCAAAGGGTATTTAATTGTTTAGACTTGTCAGAACAAAAGTCTTTTCTACCAACCAATATTCAGTAACCCACAACACTAGAACTGCTAAAAGTCCCAGACAGAACATTAAAATTAACAGGATACTTTACTAGACAGATTCCCAAGTTAGCTATTAAAAGAATATTCATAACTGTTGAATTTCACCCTTTATTGTCTTAAATCCTATACAATTTGGTGTGTATCAGAGATTTCCTATTATGTGTTTTTAATTAAAATATATACTGTATATATAATGACTACTGCACATTAGATGTTGCTGATCAATTTAACAAATTATAGGTCAGGAGGTTTTGTATGCTAGATTTTGTTTTTGCCTTCCAAATAATTTTCTGTATTTTTACCACAGTGGGTCCTTCCTATGTTCTTTAAATAGGTAGGCAGTTTTGTCTTCTATAATAACCTGTTCTTTCTTTACTGGACTAACTTCTGTATAAAATTGTTTAGAAAAAATTAAATGTATTTTTGTTCTTAGTAGACAGATTTAATCTAAATGTCTAAATGTCTAGTCTGCCCAAGGTGATGTATGACATAGGCATAAAAAGATTCCAGAAACCTCCTCAAGCTTACTGTATGTGTAACTACTAATTTTTGGATGTTAAAATGCAGCTTTTCCATTTATTTATAGTTAGTTGTCTTGACCTATCCCAAAGTCTGTGAATTAAATGATAACACATTTCTGTGTGCACTCACATTTGGATTCATTTAAAATGGATAATATTTACTTTAATTAGGAGCTTTTACAAAACCAATCCTTCAGTCGATCTCAAGTCTTTAATCGCAAAATGAGTGTCGACCTTATACAGAAAAGTTTAGTTAACACAGCTTGATGCTGTATCTGTGCTCATACGGTAGATAAACTGTGCATTGTGAATAAATGCATTTCAATTGTGCTTGTTGTCTTGGTGTCCACATCTCCAAATGGAAGAAAAAGCATGTACACAGCATTCCTTTGAAGTAAAAGAACATTTAGCCCCTCCACTACGTTTTAATGGAAAGCTTTAAAAGAGTCATTGAATTACATTTTTCCCAGGGAAATTAACATTATTGACATTATGATGGAAATCTAAAAGCCAGCATCTTGTGCTTTTTTTTCCAATGTTCATAAATTAAAAAAAAACTCTTGCCACTTATTTAATATCCCCTCCACTTCTCAAGTCTTTTTTTATCTGAAAGGATGGAGCTGATTCTATACATCCTCAAGAGCTCTTCAGTAGTACCATCTTCAGCAGAGCATTTACATGCAAAGCTAAATAAGTCAGATTTTTCTTTATAATTTAACCACTGAGCTCCCTGTCAAAATTGTGCACAACATGTGAATAGAAAAGTTCACACACGATAAATTACACAGACCATGCTTGGCACACCTCCACCCTGGTGTTGCCATTTTGATCATGGTCCTGAAAAATAAAAATGTTCTTCCTTCATACAGTATATCATTTGGCGAAGAGGTGGCCAAATATAAAAAAAAATCTACAGTTTCAGATAAAACTCTCTTTTTTTGAGTAATGAGCTGTTAGATTAAGTAAGGAGTGGCTACTGCTGTCCTCGAGGCCTGCAGGGTTTTTGGACTTTGCATTTCAAAGTGTATATGAATCATTATTATATTTGTATTTACATTTAATAGGTTTATATGGCAGTTTGTCCTGTCATGATCAGATGTAAGAAGTTGTTCACTCATATTGCTTGGGAGCGAGTCACTCTCTACCACATGCAAAGTGCATTCTGGGGACAGCCTTTGAGGCGAATCTCATCCCTGCACTTGATGAAGGGCTAATATTAAAATTAATAGGGTATGTAGTGTCAGCTGGATATACTGTAGCTAAGCTCTTGAGTGGATTGATGTATGGCTGATGAAGAGGTTCAAGCAAATGTAGAGGATTTTGGTAAATACCGTACAATATTTTAATACTATAAAACTTTTCTCATACGTTGAGAGGAAATGCTACTGATTTTCTCTATATTTTTCAAAGGCCTTGGCTGGGTTTACGTAGATACAAAAAATGTGCTTTAGTTCCTACCATGATTGCAGTCGCATCTCCTAGTAACCCTAGTGGCTGACATCTTCTTCAGAAAGAGTGATGGGAGCACAGTAATAATGGCATGCCCAGTTACATATGCTAGCAAGGGTAGCCCCTGGCTCAAAAAAAAAGTTTACATATGACCAGTACATTGGTGGCGCGGTGGTTATCATTGCTGTCTCTCAGTGCTGGGGTTCAGTTCCAAACCTGAGGTGCTCTCTGCATGGAGTTTGTACATTCTTCCTGTGTTCACCGTAGTTTCCTTCAGTTTCCTCCAACAATCCAAAGACATACTGCTAGGTTAATTGGCTTCTGGGACAATTGGCCCCAGGTGGAGTGTGTGAGTGTCTCTTCATCATTGAATCCAAGCCCTAACACAGATAAAGTGGAATACTACCTATGTAGGAACAAGTAATAGGTTTATTCCTATTACTAAGTAATATATTTCACCTCTGACGGCCATGATCACACTAATCTCTCCCTCTGTGTTCTCATAGATGGATTTCCTAACTCCTAGGAAATATCACACCTTTCCCCTTCTCTCAATGAGAGACTCATTTTCAGACAAATTCTCTTTGTTCATTGTAGGTTTCATTTTACACCTCTCTTCACCTATCCACTTCACACTACCTGATTGGCCACTCTGTTCCCTGCTCCTGCCTCCTGCTCCTCCTCTCTCCCAGCTTTTGTTCTCCTGCTACATGACCTTTGCTTACTGCCCTGTCTTTCTCACACCTGAAGAAGGCTCTATGGCCGAAACATTGTGTTTTCTTTCTTCTCTTTTCAGCATGGAATAAACCTATTACTTGTTCCTTTGCAGCCTGCGCATGCTGATGCAGCTACCCACCTGAAGTACTTTTACTACCTACTGTATGTAGCTACGTATTGCTTTAATGTGTACTGTGTTATAGTTCTTTGAAGTACAGTGTATCATTACAGTATGTTTATAAAACATTTTAATATTTCATAAATGTAACCTGTGGAGATCATATAACCATTAAATGGATATATTTTGTATACATACGGGTTATATGGAGAGGTGTACCACAGGAGTCTGTATTAGGACCACTGCTCTTCCTAATTACAGTATATTAATTGTCTAGATAGTAAAGGCTGTATAAGAAATTCAAATTCACTGAGGTAAAAGTCGAGACTGGGGCAACACTTGATACATGACATTCAATGTACAGTACATGAAGATAGCAATAACATAAAATAGAAATATAATGTGAAAAGCCCCAAGCACAAAGGGCTTAGTGGTTTGTGTTAAAATGTGTTTTTCATGTGAAATAGAAGTGCAACACTAAAAATAAAAAAATAAGCTTTAAATGTGAAAAAGCACAAAAGCAATCATAAGTAAGGAATGTTATACACAGACTTTAAGTCAAGCAATATTATGTTAAATTTGTATAATGCAGCCATCCTCATCCAATCTGGGGTCACAGGGGAGTCAGGGCCTACCCCGGCAACACTAGGCACTAGGCAGACCCATCACAGGCCACACATACAGACACAAACACAGAAATGCACACAGTTACACCAGGCACATTTTTCCAGGAAGCCAATTAACTTTGGTATATCTTTGGTCTGAAGGAGAAAACCTGAGCACCCAGTAGAAACCGAGGTGAAAATGGGGAGACTGTACAAAATCCACACAGATATTCAGGTTGGGAATTGGACTCAGGGCCCCAGAGCTGTGAGTCATTAATGCTAAATACTGCACCACCATTCCACCCTATAATGAACTAGTAACCCCTTATTTACCATTGATCAAGACCAGGTGGATGGGTGGATACAAGCAAACTTATTTACCATATTGTATACAATTTTGGTCACCATGATACGAAAATTATAGTGCTGC